GAACACATTAGATCTGCTCTTTGAAGAGATTGTAAGGTTTGCTTTAGATATTATTAGTTGTTAATCGCGGTACACTTCTGTTGTTGTAAGAGTGGTAATGGATTAAAGACCATCCAGCACATATGGCTAAGTCAGCCACCGCAAACATGAAGAGCTTACATACTACAATTTGACCTATATGACTGTACGGTGCCTTGGTGCTTGTCTATCCTATCAATTGGATAAGATTATCAACTTATTATTAAAGCACACATCTTTTCCCGGTTTTAGGACGTGGCACACCACCTGCTACAAAACTAGTTTCAGCGCATTCGACAATAGTGTAACTTGGTTTGTAGTCGTGTATACAGCCGTATAGGTCAAAGTATAACCCACACCGTAAATCCCAAACAAAAGAAATTAAAAATATAACCAACACCATAAACCCCAAACAAAAGAATACATAGAAAAATGAATTAGCTTACATAATAAGGCGGAATGGTTGGTACGACTGTTTTTAATATTATTTAACTTATTACTAACTTAAGGAAATTAAACTAAATGAGACTGATGTCTCAAAGTAATAGGCGGTTTAAGACGTACGAAATTGCAACACACATACTTAAAATTAAGTACACACACACACAACAAAACTATTCCCTTTTCACAGTGGACCGTTAATGTTTGTAGTATGGGCTGTATTAATAAAATAAAAACAATAAACTTAATGTCTAACACGTAGTTTGCTTGCCTTCGACCACATATTCGTATAGTAATACACGATCGAATACAAAGCAAAAGGAAGCGTATCTAAGTTCACGCAACTTTTTTTAATAAAAAAATTTGAACTAAAAATAAATTAGAAAAGTAATGCACTTCTGCTTAAAGTTATCAGTGATTTGTGTAACACTGAATATAAAGGAACCAGCGTCTATAAAGACGTTTTTAAATCTAACTTATTCTAATTCTTTGTTAAGGTAAAGAGTAACCTGCATCTTCTGATGTCTTTCTATATCTAACTAAACCTAGGCCCTTTCAGAGGAATAGGGTCAACCTGCTGCCAATATAACGAGAAGGAGTATTTACTACGAGCTAGTCTTAATACTAATGCATAATTCTAAATCTATAAAAAACTGGAACATAAGATCACTCAGTAACGCTCTTATGAATAATAAAAAATGTACTAACCTAAACAAAAAGAATGATTTTGTAATATCAAGTGAAGTGTTACTGCAGTTGGAGAACTAAAAATAATACAAGTTTACTAGCTAGCTAAGCTTTTGTCGAACTATGGTTGTTGTCACTCATTATGTATATGGAAGAATTATTTACATGAAGGGAGGAAGGATTTGACGGACGAGCTATTGGAAATCAGCTCGATTGTAACTACATGCACACCCTAATATATTCAAGCGTCAAACTCACCCACACAGTACTTAATTGAAACTTATATCCTAAACACTTCCAATAATCTAATCATGTCTTGGAAGTGTTACATCATATCCTAAATACTTATTATATCGAATTTAGTAATTTTAGTACTTTCCATTCGACCTCTTCGACGCTGTTAAGCGGACGATGGCACGAATTATGGCAAATTTCAAATCAAGACCGAAAACGAACTAATCCTTATTCACAAAACCTATCTCTCTAATACGACATCGACACAACTACAAACGCTATACTACCCCTATTGAGATTAGATCATATATAATCAGCTCGCTCGTGCCAATAATATTAACACGCGTAGGCCAAAATAAAGCTATATTCCAAAAATGACCCACAATTCTAAATCACTAGGGATCAGATTAGGAACTTGAAAAAAATATAATTCCTTTCGAACGTTAATTACTCTTAATCCTATAATATCCAAGTAAGGTCCCTCGCAATTAATTTTAAATGCAATAATTTATTTGGGTTTAACTTATTTCTATGAAAACTGCAAATAGTTAAGAGGTGGTTCGCCTATGGTCCACTATTCATTTTCGCCAGCGATCAACGGGCATTTGATGTAGAATTATATTTACGACGATGATAATGATGGTGATGACTACGGTAATAAACTATGATACTATGAGAATTGATTCATTACAAAGAACGTGCACGTTTAATTAAAAATATTTGATCAAGCCATGACAGTTGTATGTGCAATAACATGTGTATTTTAAATGAAATGTAACAAATTGGTTTTAGAAATAATATTAACCTAAACCTAATATTTAGTTTTAGCCTTAAACTAAGATATGAAAAATTACACAAGATTTTAAAAATCTAATTATACCTTAGAGGGTCTTAAAAAATTAGACGTTTTGGTCTTTTGTAAGACAAGTTTTTACGATCATCAGTCTTTTTGTTTCTAAAATTCGAATCAATCAAAGAAGCAATTTAAAAATAGTAGGTACCTGTTTTGCATTGAAAAGGTAGATTCTTCGAAAAGTTTGATGCCTAGAATTTTTAAATTGGTATATTGAGAGTTAAGAAAGTATTTGGATGGCCAAACATATTAATTTTGTCATTCCAAGGAAACTAATAATGTATAAGGTATGTGTCTAGGTCCATGTACCTTACCATCCTGCCAGGATTCAAATGAACATATAACTGCTATAAGTAGTGTACAATTGTACATTGTCTTTGGCACAACTTGTCAAGTCCTTTTACAAACATTGTTTCGATGGTAGGTTATATATAAATCACTTTATAGGTATTCATTATTAAAGAGATTCTTTGCTGCTCAGCTTCAGCTTTTATCTGTGAATATTTTTTATCTATCCAAATATATAAATGTGCCACCGAGGACAAGGGAGCTTGATCATTTTTCTTCACAGATAATCTAATGTTAAATACGCTTATTAAAAGCATGTTAAAGAAATACCATTTTAATATGTTTTGAGTAGTTTAAATGCCTAATGAATAAAGTAAAGCAGTGACAACTGTATTTTCTGTTTTGGGGAATATCGATCACGCAGTATCTCTTAAAGACTGCTGCCGTTGCCACTAGTTACCCAAACTGTTTATAGATGAAACTGAAATGCCCCAGATGTAGTGACTGTTTAAAAATAACTACTAAGGTTGCGTACTTATTGTAACATTACAAGGTATGCTTTATAGCGAACACGAAAATAGAAGATCAAAATTCAACATAATCGTGAACTGATTGTTCAATTGGTTAATAACTGATATTATTTTTTGAAACATATAATCATACTAATTGATTGTAAAATTAAGATCCCTATGAGAAATTCCACAATATTTACGAATGTTACCGTTAGCGTATACTGTAAATAAATCAACAATTGACGCCTATACCAACAAAATTGTCTAACTAGGTATTATCGATTCCAAAGACATTAATGCAAATATTACATCACATTAATGTAATTACTTATATGAAATACAACAATTAAGTATACCTCCCATAAAATCTTGTTGTTGATGTGTTGCTAAATGCGCTAAAAGTCGCTGAACAGACCACCCGGCGGTAAACTGATATGCTAGAAGTTCTTTACAGATTTCTGGGATGAGGATTGGGCAGCCAGCAACCCCATCACGGTTATCGGTGAGGCCGTGGTATTGCTCCAGTCGAGCCGGCCGATTCATGCCTCTCCTATATAAAGTGATGGTGAATTGATACGGATATTAAATTAAACTATAAATTATCTATCTACAAATAAGAATAGGGTGTTCAACATTTAGGGATAATCAGGAATATGTGTAACAGATCTTATTGAAAGATTTATTCTATGTAATATTTACTTAAATTTTGTTTAATCTATATGATGTCAGATACCCCATTCATATACATTAGCTCACTACCTATCTATGTACTTAGTAATAATTTTACGTTGGTCGGATGTTGTTGGGGTTGAATTGAGATTGCATGTAATTTTGGAATGAAGAATAATCATTGGATGGAACTAGTTTCTCGGGTCAGAAAGTTTTATTACAATTTTGATGTGTTAATAACTGATGGAATGGCAATGTATTACATGCACAATTTCGATTTTCTATTTAAATACATCTTAGAGAACAAAGGACAACTTATATAGTAGGTCACCAGTGCATGTGAAATGAAAACTCTTAAACTTTTTATAAGGCACACTGCGGTTTTAAAACGACCTAGTCAAATACTTATAAATAATTCTAAAAGAAATGTTACAACACGGGTAAGTTATTTTGTGGCTAAATCGATGCAGATAGTAATCTTAAAATAGTAACTTCAGTCTCGTATTGTAATTTTCAAAAAGTAAAGATTTTGCAAATAACAATTTGGAGAAAAATTGGTTGAAAGTTCGACAAAGAGCACCCCAACAACATACGATAACAATTTTGCCTATTAAATATTTCTCAAATAGTATAACAACAATAAAATTTGTAATTTACAAACGCTAGTAACATTCGTAAACAAACATGTTAAAAGCTTTCTGAAAGACTGATTTTTAAAGTACCTACAAATTTTTAAAAATACTTTTAAGATAAAAACTAAAGTTGAGCTCAAAGAAAAAGGCCATAGAGTACAGTTGGGCCGGTGCACCATTGATGTTCATGGGAAGCGCTGATCACATTGCGCTTAGCGGTCAGTCTCAAACACGTATTCATCAGTAAACTAAGTCATGTTGCCTACTAAATATGGAATTTGAACACAAGAATTTGTGTCTTAAGTCAATGTCTAGTGGTAAAGTTTTACTGAAACGAAGTTATTTGAGACAAGCCGCTGGTGGTGCTGACTGATTGCATCAGTGGGACGGGTTCGTTACTGAAAAGTCTCACTGATGGGCGATGGGGTCGTCACATCCCTACGCCGGAATCTTCAAAATTTTACGGTTTATTTCTCATATAATAGTATTAGGTGAACAACAACTTGTGATCAGTTTTTTTATATATAATATGCACGGTTTACGTAACTATTCTTAATGTATAGTGAAAAGAAGAAATGTCAAGATTGAGATTTATGGTATTTCAATAACGTGCTTTTCAAAGTGATTTTTTGTGGCTTAACGTGCTTTTTTAGTATTTCAATAAGTTGCTTTTCAAAAAACAATTATAAACTGTAGTTAATCATCGGAGTCTGAAGGGGCTGACTCCTCGCCATTTTCGATACGTCTTTTCATATCATCGTTGACATGATTTAGTTCTTCTATAGTTACCTTCGTAATGATCTGAACGTCCTCAGTAATCGGCATCTTCTTAACGTTTAGTATATTTAGTGCGTGTTCTAAACACAAATATGAGTTACGCACTAAACCGGTTACCTGTATGCAAAAAATATCGGTAATGAATAGTAAATCCAATAATTCGAATACAAGGACTGACAAGAGTAAAGGACTTACCTTAGAGAAGAACAGTGTAGCTCTACAGTATTCACATTCTTCTTGTATGAATGTTCTATTTCGTCTTCTGCGACGACCAGTATTTTTTGGCTTAGGTATATCAGGCTACAACAATGAAAGAACATTGTATAAACTTTACTTACAAATCAAATGGCAACAGAATCTGTGCCACAAAGTTATCAATCAATCAGTGCGGGAATGGCGCATCTGGGAATATTTTGAATTACCTGGTGCACAATTTTCATGCCTCTTTCTTGCAAGATTAACCTGTTTGTGATCTCATCTCTCAGGACTTTATCGAACACTGGCTGGGCAGCCCTAAGAGTGGCCCTATCCACACCACTCGCTTTGCCTATTCGCAATAGCAGTTCTTCAAGCGAAAACATTGTAGGTTCACAACTTTCACGAGCCTCCTGCAATCAATTAATTAATAAAAGCATTTTTTCAAAAGCTTTCTTAAGATAAAATCACTAAATGAGGGAATAGGATAAATAAATTGACGGATGGGCGAAAAGAAAAGACAAAACAATTTAATATCACTTAAATAATGAATTTGCAGATGTCCTTACTTTTATTGCACAAGTTGTAAAATCACCTTTAATCATTATTACACATGTTATTAAAGATTGCATGGAGTACTAACCTTAAATACTTCATAGACGGTGTGCAGCCAAGTAACTGGTGCGAAATAAATGCTCTCTGATTCAGAATAGCCCGTGTTTATGGAAGACGTGTAGCAGTGTGGAAAGGCCAATATTATCTCGTTATCTTCTTGTACGACGCGAGTGACCGACACATTGTATTCTCGCAGAAGCTGTGGCGGTATCATAGCTATATCCGTTGAGAGCCACAAAGATTTTTTTTGACAAAAAGAAGGACAGAGAGTGTTAACTGCCTTTCTGAAGTTATCAGTTTGTTTGGATGGAATCGCATACCTGAAAAATATGTAATAAAAAATCGAAAACAATTCATCGAATTATAAATAATCGTATTACAATTCATCGAATTACAATTAAACTAATTATAATTCATCGAATTATAATTCACTGAATTACATAATCAAATGTAATCAAAGTAATGATAATAAATCTAGAAATTAATGAGAACAAAGAGTTACCAGATCCTTGGATCCCCTTTATATAACATATCCAACCACGGCAGAGTGTGGGGGTCCATGTAAAAGCAGTTTGTTGAGAAAGCCATCCCTAGGTTCAAAGTGGGTGCTGTTAAGCCGGATACGGCACCCAAAAAACGGAGAACGTTTTCTTTATTCTGGCTAATATCCTGAAATAAATAAGAAATATGAAGTTAATATGACTATTGTTGGACATTTAATTTATCAAAAATTATTCAGTAAGTAGCGTGCAGACTGAAATTACAGTCGGTTTGTAGCAATAAGGCATTATGTTGCAACATACGACTTTAATACAAAAATTGGTATTAAATTAAGTATTTGACTAATGGTTGATTTTTCAATGGTTAGCTAAGTTAATAATTATGATGCTGTCGCGTCAGCATGTTTGTATAAGACAATGACAGCAACAATTTTATTTCTCTGACAAAATGTATCTGACTATTGAAAAATCACCCATAAATAGTATTATTTGTTGAACATGGTTAATAAAGAAGTGCTTTGTAATAGGTACCTTCAAGGTTAAGGTACGGCTACTTCCTCGTGATGGGTCCGAGCCAGTATCAATAGCAGCAGTGTGGACACATATGTGCTCGTTGCCTTGAACTACGTAGCGCCAGTACAACTCTTCTTTTTCTTCTAGACTCATAGGATTATTCTCTCGCGAATAACCATAAACTATATTATATGCATACTCGCTGATCTGCAAAGATAGGTATAGTTTTAGAATATGACATCAGAATTTATGCTATTTAATATTTTATTAAAATGAATTAATAGAAAGTTGAGAGGATGTTAGTTAAAGTAAAGTCAAAAATATTAAATACATGAATCGAAAACGTAAACAATAAATAAATAAATAACCTCTTTAAATCTAGTGTAGTTCATGATTGGGCCTCGCACAATGCAATCTTCTGCTTCTTTGACAACAGCCATTGCAGGAGACTGTTCTTCTGGTTCTTCTTCAGTATCAGTTAACCCCAACATACGTCTCTGTGCGCGCAAAGGGTTCAGTGCGCGGTCCAACAGCCTCTGATTTTTCTTAGACCACGCCTTTTCGACAATCCCAAAGAGCTCCCGTCGTTCGTCTATAAAATAAAAGCGATTCAAGGTATCAAATATTATGGCCGTAGGAAAACAATAACAACAGAAGATATTAAAAGATACTAGAGTGGTGATTAAAAGGCAACTCGGTAGCTGACCAACTAAATTAAGAATAAAATTTATAGCAATGGCAACCAACCTTACCAAACATACTTTGACATGCAAACTTACTTGGCGCAAGAGAATCATAGGGTAGAAGGTACTTCACATAAAGTTGGTCCAGTCTCCTCAGAAAGCTTACATTCCTAGGGAAATTCATGTCGCGTCCAACTCTCAGCCAACGTTTCTTATTGAGTACAAGTTCCAGTCCCCCGTGTCGTTGCACGAGATGGTATAACTTCGGCATATTAATTTCCATACCCCTAACCTGTAATAAAATACTTGACTAACTTACTTACTACAATAAATAAGACTAGCTTTATGAAAAAAAATGCCTTGAGTTATAAAAAAAAACATTATTTTAGAATGTCAATTTACCATCGGTGTGCGACAAGGAATTCCATTTGCACGCGATGCACAAAACTTTATGCAAGCCAACTCTCTCATGGCTGTGCCCCATCGGTTGAACATACGTGAAATGTATTGCTTTGCAACATCAAATCTTATTCCTTCACAACTCTGACATTTCGGCTTCCATCCTGGAGGTGGAATTATTTTACAGATACCGAATTCATATGCTTGGTCCCAAATCTTCATAAAATACTCCATAGGATTCTGTAATAATAAATCATAATCTAAGTTTATCAAAATATTTGTAAATATATTTAGTCTTTACTTCACATAGATAAACTTATTCAGACATCGTAGAACAAGCTGCAAAACAAACAAAACTTACTTTGAACTCTTCTTTCGTGGGTCTAAATACTGGACCTTCTTGCAAAACGCCACCTACAGGATGCATCTGTAGGATAGCATCCGCACTAGATTCGTTCAAGTCTTCAGCACTAATCCGTTCATCTCTTTCCCTGCGGTCGTAGTCATCATCCTCTTCATCATCGTCGGAATTGGCGTCATTGTCGGCGTCGTCGCCTTCTTCGTACACATTATTCAGCATGTGGCGCTCAACAACCTGACTCTGAACCGCAGCTCGAGGCACCTGAACGTTAGCTTGGGGTACCTGAACGTTACGGTGTACCTCAACAGGATGTGCACGTCCAGGCTCATTTACACGGTCCGGTCTGGACAATATGCCCTGAACTCTTTCAACAGAGTGAGGTGCATCATCTATCTGAGCTTGATCAAAATTTAAAATTTCACCAGGTAAACTGATAGTTAGTGTATTTATTAGTTGGTCTAATAAGTGCTCCTTCTCTTCAAGCAAGAAATCCTCATTATTTTTACGTGCGTCATTCTTAGGAATTAGGCAAGCCGACAAAAGTTGTTTTCCGTGGACCTCGTGTATTCGGAGTTTCATCATGAGACGCGGATGTTTCGGAAACAGGTCGAGATATACGTGTCCAGTGTCTTCTTCTGGGGACTTCGGTTCATTATCATACTCATCATCATTTTCTGGCTCAGATTCTGCGGTCGCTTGATTATTTGTTCCAGTTAAATCTAATCGATGAAGTAGTTTCGATAATTTTATTAGTTTATCTATTCTTAAACACGCAACACATGTGGCACAGCGAGTGTCCATTTCTTCCTTAGTTGCATTAATGACTTGTTGCACAGTACCCCACTTAGCAGCGACGCAAGGAAGTACAGAAAGGCCTGCTAAAATTTGTATGTCTTGTTGCTCGACGCTCTGGCCCCTATACAATAAAAAAAAAACGTTTATAGAATAATGTGATATATTTTATAGCAGCAAAGAAATTTACAGCTCGTACTTACCTGGAAATTCGAGGATTCCGTAATACTCTCTTATGTATACCACTAGGTCCCGCAACTGGTTCTGAGGTTAACCTTTGTAACCCACTGGGTCCCGCCACAGGGGCTGGTTTCATTCTTTGTAAACCACTGGGTCCCGCCACTGGTTCCAACGTTAACCTTTGTAACCCACTGGGCCCTACTACTGGTTCCGATGCTAACCTTTGTAGCGCACTAGAACCCGCTACAGGCTCGAACGTTTTTCTTTGCAGTCCACTAGGTCCAGGCTCTGTCGAATGCCTTTGTAACCCACTAGGTCCCGCCACGGGCTCTAACGTCCGCTGTAACCCACTTGGTCCAGCAACAGGTTCTGCTGATTGGTTTTGTAACCGTTTCGGTATTAGTGAACCAGAAGGGGGTGGAACATACGGTTCTAATATAATCTTCTTAGTACTACTCGGGCCAGGAAGTAATGCTTCTAAAACAGGACCATAAAAACAACTATCAAAATACTGTATAATACATACAAATTAAATAACATAATGATAGACTTCTTAATCTGCTATAAACAGACTAAAATAACGGCTGTAATGTTTTCATATTAAAATTTGTACTTGCCTGAACTGAGAAGGTCACAAACATGGTTTCGTTTCTTTGGTGATTTCTTATTCGCCTTGTTATTCTGAGCGTAATACGTCAATGGTCGATTATCATCGACTGAGAATTCTGACGATGAGTGTGGTTTAGAAGATTCAGTTTTCTTTTTATTTGAAGTTACGTTTTTACCTCTTAATGTGTGTATCTTTCTAGCAGTAGTTGCGCAGAGCCTACCGTTACTTAAACGTCGTTTGCGCAAAGACATAATATGTGTTTTTTGCGCATTTTTATCTGCCGCCTTTTGCAATGACCTCAGGACAGAAGCTAATGAATTTTCGTCATTAATACGTGGCTGTTTTGCCTTATTCCTAGATCCCTTGCTGACGCCGTTACCTTTAGCACTGGATCCTTTGCCTTTATTGACTTTACACTTAGTATTGTCTTTGCTTTTACTAATGACTTTGCCTTTAATGCTAACTTTTCCTTTTGTATTATTTTTACTTTTAGTACTATGTTCCTTAAATAGTTCTTTATTCTTTCCGCTAGACTCTTTTCCCGTACAGGAAGACTCTTTGCCATCCGCAGCGACTTCTTTGTTTGAATTATGTTTTTCATTAGGCTGAAGTCTTTTGTCATTCGTTTCAGATTTAATCAAATTTATTAAAGTAGGTTCATCTACACGAGGACTAGTTTCATTATTAACTTTAACTGTATTGCCATTTGTGCAGCATTTTACTGTGTCATCATTATCAAAATCTACATCCTCAGGACCAGACTCAATGCTTATAGGGCTTTCTTCAAACCTTAGTTGCATATCTGCATTGGATTCATTGTCCCCAGAGAAGGCATCATCAGCATCGTCCATAAGAAATTCATGCGGCTTTGTGAATATTTCAGAAACAAGCGACTTATCAGTAGTGTCGCCATTTGTCTGGAGTGTCGGTGGGGTAATTTCCTTTTCTTGGCGCGTCACGTCTTTGCAGGGATTTGTTTCACGGAGCCTCTCCACAACCACTACAGGTTGCAAGTGTGTATGAAGACCTGAAATGTAAGTGTTAGTACAATTATAATAATAAACACATTTTTTTTACTCAACTATAGTGACAGCACAATATATTATGTAAAATAAACATAATTTACAACACAAAACTAGCTACTGTCTACACAACTTAGCTACACAAAAGTAAATTGTTATTTATTGTCGGGCCAGCTATATCTACACTAGGAAAACAATATTAAGAAATAATAATACGTAACTACTACTAAGTTTCAGTAGATAATCTTTAGCGGTAAAATTGTATGTCAACAAAATAGTAAAAATATAAAAATCTTAGTGTACAGTGCATAATAAAAATATAGTATCGTATCTTTAAGCTTGACACGGTGAGCGTGGTATGAAAAACAGCTTTTAAGAGATCCATTAGCTGCGCGCGTTGTGTCACGCAGTGTCCCTCATGATAATGAGCCCTAAGGTTAGCTAGAAACTAGCCGAATCCCTCGTAAAACAGTTTAACAGTAGTAATTTGACAAGTTATCAAGTAACAATCATTTTATGTTTTTAATTTTAAATGCACAGCAATAATAAGAAAAATTATATTCGAAAATACATGAAAACCTGTCATCAGCTCTTTTTTCTATTATAATGGAAATATCCCTTACTAAATAACAGAACTATGAAATTGGGATTAAGTACTGTCCATATCAAATCACATAGTTTCATTTGAAAAAACAATAACAAGAAAATCTTTCCTAAAGTCGCCATTAGTTTCATAGTTAGTGTTTTGTTTTAAACACAACAGATTTCATTATCCTTAAATTAATTGCATTATAAATTAAAATTAGCGTCATTATGGAGCGACGTAGTGACAAAGCAAAGCAACATCAAAGACGTTTACTGAGTGCACCCTACAAACGTACACATTATACGTTATTGGTTTGCCCGCTTTCTGTCTGGAACTTATAGCCTGAAAATTTATCCCGCGTTCGCCCGAATTAGAGGCACTTGTATAAGTGTATGGAACTCAATGTACGGCTGAATTAGCAGCAGCTTTCGACGTCAGCAGCAAAACAATATTGGTCCACTACGTCAACTTGGCAACACGTTGTGTGGTACATCATTGGCCTCACCTACGCAATGATTGGCAACGCGAGTACGCGTCGAGATGTGCCTACTCTCGTGCGTACTAACGCGAATGTAATTTTTCACAGCTCCTTACCAAACGGGACGAGCAAGTAGGTACCTCAGAAAACCAAAATTTTGGTTATAAATATATATGCTATTAAACTACAGCAATTATTGTGTGTAAATAGTGCATACCTAAAAACCCACATTTACCAAGAATTTTGTTAGTTGTTAATTTGCGCCTAAAGTCAAAGTCCACCACCTTTGCTTACACTTGTTTTAAAGTCACAAGATTGAGGAAACGCGTTAAAACGCTACTAAGTTAAAAAATGTAAGCTACATGACGTTAACGTTTATAAGTCAAAGCAATTCATCGAATTACAATTCATCAAATTTTTATCAAATTACAATTCATCAATTTACAATTCCTAAAACACATTTTATTAAAAAATAAATCGCCGAACACATTCAGACGGGATGATGTGTGTGTGTGTGTGTGTGTGTGTGTGTGTGTGTGTGTGTGTGTGTGTGTGTGTGTGTGTGTGTGTGTGTGTGTGTGTGTGCGTGTGCGCGCGCGCGTGTGTGTGTATGTGTGCAAGCGTTTCTGTGTATGTTTGTATTTGTGTTTCTACACACCGTCCACGATGCACAGCACCTACCTTACTATTTCTTACACACCATTTGACATGCACAGAATTCATTAATACATATTTTATACAATTCTATTGAATCTCCGTATAATTTAATTACTTAGGAGTATTTTTTTTCTAGCACGTGTCATTCGACGAATTATTATTCGATCAATTGTTTTTTTCGAGGAATTGTTTTCGACAAATTATTTTTCGAGGATTTACCGTTCGAAGTATTGTCGTTCGGCGAATTATCGAGCATGCGCAATAAGACACCACGGCACCGGTCTAGAGCAGGAGAAAGAACGGGGGGTTTTTAATCAGTAAGAGACACTTTCTCCTGCCTCTCCCTGGGCGGGAGAAAGTCATTTGATGATTTTCCTCTTACAAAAAAGAGATTTACTTACGATATGTCAGTGACTTCTAAATAATCATAGAAAGTACATATAACTCAGTAAAAGTCACATTGGTACTTGCCAGGTTGCGAATCAGCGCCCTCATGCATAAGAAGGGCCCTAACCTCCGGGCCACCACGACATTTTCTTGCGTGGAGATTAATGCTCAAACTTCTCCGTGTGACAAGAGGCCTTTGCTGTGGGGTGGGCCCTGGCACTGTGCCGATGATGTGTATGTATTTTAAAAACAAATTTTTAGACTACATGGCTACTATATGATGATATACTTAAATTATTATCCTAAATAGGAATATAATTTACTTATATAATTCTATGGCTCTCGGCTCTCATGGCTGAACCTATGGAAACTGCTACAAATACCGACAATGCAGTAAATAAATGTATGATAAATAAAATAAATACATGTGATTATTCCTTAATTTTCAAGTACAAGTCTAACTTAGTGCAGACATTAAATCTTTTGAACAAAAAAAACCGACTTCAAAAAGTAAACTAAAAAGCAAAAAAAATAATTTTCTTTATACAAAGTAATACGTGTTTTCATTTAGGTAAATAGAAAATAATATTAATAACTATTTTTATAATCTTAAAGTCGGTGCCGTCCGTTCAGGAGTTCCCTGAGCTGTCCTTTGTTCTCATCATCAGACCACTAATGACAGTTACTACCAGTCTTGGTGTAAATTGCTGAACAAGACGAATTATTGAAGCCCAAACACAAGGCAATTACTCCAATAGACAAGGAGATCCCTCAACTGTCTTCCGGCTTCATCAGGTCGAGTTCAACCATTGGCAAGTTGACGTAAATACCTGAATAACTTCAGAAAATATATGAATCATGCCGACTGTCCCTATAAAATTTGAAAGGCCCCTCGATTTTCCTGTGTTTCCATCATCAGATCCTGACCTGGTGAATATGGGATCACCTGGAAATCATACAGTACTGAACAAAAAAAAATACCAAATTCGTCCAGGCACCTTCGAGTAATCGGTTAACATACATAAAAAAAAAGATAACGACGAATTGAGAAACTCCTACTTTTTGAAGTCGGATAACAAGGTACAAGGTTGGACAAACATGGTTAATCTTCACTTGAAAGAAAAATCCTACGGACAAACACATATAAGTATAACCTGACATATAAACTACATATTATTACCAATTTACATTCACCTAAGCGACAATATTCTAACAAGAATCAAAATGGGCCTAAATTATTATGTACAACACTGTTTGTAAATGAAAAATCTTATTTAACATTTAGCATGCAATAATATCTACCAGAAAAATGTGAACATTGACGCGCAAGTATTCAGAGTTGGAAATGAAAAGAAAAACAAACACTAAGATGTACATATAAACTTAACCTACCAAATCTATGAAGAGCAATGTTCCTCTTGAGTCCCGAAGCATTAAAAACTATAAAAAAAAAAATAAGCAGAACCCAATGTTAACTGTTTAACCGTAAAAATTGGCAACATAAGAGAAAAAACAAAAGACGTACAAAAATAAAAAATACATATATTATTGTTATGTTATGTTATATTTGTTAGGACAATTGGAAAAGGCTGTATTATCATTGTTATTGATGTTGTGCAGTAATTTAAAAACGAATAAAAGCGTGCATTAAACACTGTTTGCCACCAGTAGTGTTATTTCAATTTCAAATAATTGAAAACTATGTGTTTACGTGTTTTACTCAAACTTTCGCCAGTCAAGTTCGGAAAAGTATAATTCATATTTTATAAAACTTTATTAATTACAAAAAAAGTGTTATCTAGTCTGATATTTTGCATCAGTGTCAATATAACAAAACAATACCTTTATCTCTGGTATTTAAAAAAAATATTGTTTGAATTCCTAATGTTATTTCACCTATATTTATAAGGTATAATTATATAATTATAATAATTATATTATATATTACTATAATTGTAAGGTAATGAATTGAGAACCTCCTCCTTTATTTGAAGTCAACAAGGTCAACAACAAGTCAAACAACAATGTTATTTCACCTTTACTATCGAAGGTAAATAATAAATGATTGTTAAAAGTGTAGCGATAGATGCCGAATGTGCATTAATTATCAAAGACTTGATAGAGGACATTTGACTGACTGTGTTATCACACACACTAGTCATTAGGAAAATGGTCACTGTCATCATTATCAGCCTATAAGTGTCCACTGCTGAGCAAAGGCCTCTCTCTTCTCACACGGTTCTCTCAAGGTATGAGCATTTATCACATTGCTTGCTCAATGCAGGTTGGCGATTTCAAACTAATAATTAGATTTTATAAGTCCAGGTTTCCTCACGATGTTTACCTTGACCGTACGTCAGTGGTGTCTAAATAATTATAGAACGTACATATAACTCGGAAAAAGTCACATTGTTACTAGCCAGGTTTTGAACCCGCACCCTCATGCATGAGAAGCGGGCGCTTTAACCTCCGGGCCACCACGACAAAATGGTGAAAATGTGATAATATGGCAGTCTTTGAAATTAACTATGTACGTGCAGTGCATTTTCGACAATCGCTATTAGCAATATGAACAAATACTAAGTGATTGAGTACCGACCCTGGAGTGAGACCACATCTAATAGACTCGTTGCGGTCATGTTATTGATTGTGACATTTCGCGCGTCCTGAGCGGCATCGCGTCTGTGGTCAACGGCTGCCACCGCTGCTGCATTTGGAGGTACATAAGCGCCCTGTGCAAACTTTCGCTGCGCTTGTACACGACGCGAACGCGGCCTGAAATAATTCAATATAAATTACTTATTTTTAATTTGAAGAGAAAGTATATATTATGTAGTGATACATTATATTGTATTTAAGGTATAATACATATGCTTGTCAATAATATTCAACGATTCGCTTAATCTAAAAACCAATGAAGTATAATCTTTGCAAGTGCCGCACAGCTGGGAAATCAATGTTTTTGTTCTGATCTGGTTGACAATTTGCGCCGCGAAGCCGTCCTAGGATAATGAATAGAAGTCAAATATTAATAGTATTTCCATTGTCCTTGGGTGCACTTTTATAGTGCATACAGGGATAATTGCCGGCTGATGTCCCATCACATTTAGATTAAAATTGTTCAACGGGCCTCTGCGAGTTGGCTTCGGCTCCTCGTACGCCTTCCAAAGGTCCGGGAGCCTGTGGTCCCGTGAAAGGAAAGAACATACTAAACTTGAAATATATTGAGGTAAACCGTGATTTCAAGTAAGTGAACGAGACATACCAGGTCTTGAAGCATTATAGGGAACACCGTCAATTAAACGGGTTGGACGTTTGAAATTCTTAATTTTGGAGTACAAAATGAACCTACCTTCTTTCTCTTTAGTATTGTGTAAGAACTTTACCATACTATTATGAGAGTCTTTTGGCAACTCTCACAGGAATGCGAAAACAATAATTGTTTTATGTGCCTTAGAAGTACCTCTACGTCTATCAAAAAGTTTGAAAATAAATATTATGAACCAGCTAATTTCGCGCGGTTTCACCCGCTGCTACGGACGTTAGCGTGATGTTTTATAGACTATTACCTCCCTCGATAAATGGACTAACAAACACAAAAAGAATTGTTCAAATCGAAACAGTAGTTTCGGAGATTATCAAACAAACAAACTCTTACGCTTTATAAAATTAAATAAATAATATAGATTAGCAAAATAATATGGCAATCCCAAACACCAATATTAAAAAATCAATTGAAATTTTTGCACCAATAAGATTCGTGTAGCTATTATTGATGAGGCGGCATCGCCCCTCCTGCGCCCCAAGATCAATATGGCTAGACGGGAGGCACTATACCTAGCTATGGTACCGATCAAACTAGGGGACAAATGAATGAGGGGGAACTGATGCAACCTAGCCCGCTGTATCTAAGCAGCTCGAATCAAGTAAGAGAAAGGGAGAAGGCTCCTTGTTTTAGGCAGGATGCAAAGGATTTGTATATCAATTAATTGGTCAGTAATTAGTAATCTGGTAACAACTAGCTGCGTTCGGTAGAGCGACGGTATCTTCGCCCCTAATTTGAGCTGGTTCTAAGTCCAAACTTGCAATTTTTATTTCATAAGAGCCTTCTCCAGATTGTCAATATATATTTAAGAAATCCATACAACCGAAAGTGTGATTTAAAAAAACTCTTTCATAGGTGAAGAAGTCATCTAGGATGCATGTAACCTCCACAGCATTCTGTATTAGGTACTTGTTATTGTATATTACTTATGTAATCAATCGTTTCAACTTGTAAGAACGTCAAGTTCGGGTTTTTTTTTACACGTGGTAATCGTACCTTTGCATCAAAATTCATCTTTACGACTTTATCTTTTGATTCAATTTAATTTATCATATCACTAGTGGCCTGTTCGGGATTAACTCTGATGGACATAAGATTTTCTAAATTAATGATAACTTTATGGAAAAATTAAGAATTTCTAATTCAAATAAATTCAAATTTACATTTTAGAATTACAGTCAACGAGTGATTTAGTTTACCTTTATTATGATTGTGTTTCGTTTATTAGGGACACGAATCAAAACAACAGGTTTTGAAAAAAAAAAACAAGTGCCGTTCGCAAAAATTCAACAGTTGTAAAGCATATAGGTACTTAACTAAAATTAGTTTAATTCTTCGATTTAAAGCACTTTACAAATATGTTTTCTATTTCCTTCCAAAGACACAAAAAGCAAAGAAGAATACTATTTAAACTCCAAAGTTGCAAATAAAAATTAATAACAATTTATAATAAAATATTTCACCATATTTAGATTTTTTGTGGATTTCATCTCTTTTTTGGTCAATAATTTAATATTAAACTTGGTTTTTTCATTCTTATTTTTAATTATGCTCGTAACATTGTTGAAATAAGACTCATTAATAACAATAATAAAACTTATTATAGTAACAGGCTAGCACGTTGTCAATACAAAATTTTGTATAGATCAATACAAATTTCACACATTCTATTTAAGTATTATATGTTTTAGAACCGTGTAAATGTTTTGTTTCAATTTATTTAGCTATAACTACCAAAAGTTTTTAAATGTGCACTTACTTCATTGCCGATGTTTTAAATCACTATTAAACTAAAAACACACGCGAGTTTCCCGTTCGGCAACACTGCCAACATAGCCAAAACCGGCAGTGTTGCCGAACGGTGCCAGACTGAAACCCCCGCGGGATACGCTACGCGCTTTTATATGATAGAGACAAATATACTGCAATCCCCACCCTACACCCGTCGCAATTACTCCCTATGCACACTACAGTATTTACCGTCGTTGCAGGGAGCCTGGGATGAGTTGTTGCTAGGCTCCCTTTTATGGCAGGGGGCCTCTCCCTACAGGGGTAACAATTAGCGTGTTTTGGATATCAATTTCGGCCAGACCACCATGTATGTGTATACAGGACGGTATTAAAATCGTAAGCAAAATTTAAGTTAAGGTTCTGCTAATCATGTTAAGAAAAGGCAATATATATACTCAGAATACAGAACAAACTCTGTATTCTGAGTATATATATAAAGCAAATCGAAATTCATCCGATCCAGCTAGATCCAGCTAGGTAGGTCCAATTTCGAGAAGGAGGTCAATCGTCGAATCCAACTTGGATGGGCAGCGTTCGGGAAACTACGCAACATCTTCTCGTCCAACTTACCTCAGTGCCTTAAGACGAAAGTCTATAATCAATGTGTGTTACCAGCGATGACCTATGGAACTGAAACGTGGTCTCTTACTGTGGGCCTTATAAAGAAGCTCAAGGTCGCTCAGCGCGCTATGGAGAGGGCTATGCTCGGAGTTTCTTTGCGAGACCGTATAAAAAACGAGGATGTCCGCAAACGAACAAAGGTTTCCGACATAGCCCAGCGGATTAGTAAGTTGAAGTGGCAATGGGCAGGGCACATAGCGCGTAGAACCGACGGCCGCTGGGGCAGAAAGGTTCTCGAGTGGCGGCCACGTACCGGCAAGCGCAGCGTAGGACGTCCACCCGCAAGGTGGACAGACGACCTGATTAAGGTCGCAGGAAGCCGCTGGATGCAGGTCGCTTCCAACCGGCCTATCTGGAAGTCAATGGGGGAGGCCTATGTTCAGCAGTGGACGTCCTGTGGCTGATATGATGATGATGATGATGAAATCAAAATTATTATTCGAAATCCTAATATTTAGAATTTGTCGCCTACACAAACTCAAACAAACTAAAGTATGTGCAAGCAGACATGCCATTATGGAATACAAAAATTTGAAGCACTTTCGCCAAAAGTAGATAGTTAAGTTAAAAAACGTGGTCTGCAGGTATAAATGCCGACCCCCTGTCCGAGATTTATAGGAGGGTAGGCAATTGATTCATTGTGTCTGAAGGGGGTGGCGTCCCCAGGCCGCCAGTCCATATAATATCTCCAATTTGGGTAGGCAGGCTTTGGGTCTCCCTGAACTGCATAGTGTGTATTATACATATGGTTGTATACTGTCGACGTCTGGAGTATTGCAAGTCGTGAGCTATTCGTGCATAGTAGAGATAAAGTAAGTTCTACCAAATAGGTGTAACTAATACGTTTGAAAAATGAAATACTTATCAATATTTAATTGTCGATTAATTTATTTTACACTGAGGACACTATTATTAAATGATTATAGATTGATTGCATAGCTAGACTGTTTGGATGGGGATTTTTTATGTAAAAGGTCAGCAAACGAACATGATTGGATCTGATGGTAAGCAACCGGCGCCGCCCATGGACACCCGCAACACCAGAGAAGTAAGTTGTAGGTGCGTTGCCTAACTTTTGGGGATTAGTGATTCAGAAATTTAGGGATTGGAAGAGGGGAAGAAGGATTGGGCCTCCGATCGAGCTGATCCATTTGTGCCGAAATATGGCTCTCATCACACTTATCGGCATAGCTTAGTTAATATTACGACTACCAGTTTTGAACAAAATGAGGAACTAATTTATATTTTCTGTACCTACACAGGTAAACAAATTCACATCCTGCATAAAAATCCTGACTTCATTACTATTGACGAGATATAAGTACGTATAGATAGATAGAAGTCAGGATATTTTATACAACCAGTTGTTTGAAAATCTTATTTTCCATATGGATCAGACCCCTTCAGCAAGAATAAAGGTAACTTCATTAAATCGCGTCAAGAAGAAAAAGAAACTATACTATTTTATATCTCACATAATGAAATGCTCAAACATATTATTTATTTTCTACTGAACAAGCCATAATAAGAGTACAAAATGGGGACAAGCCAAAATAATTGCTGTGTGTTTAATACTACCTACTCTTGAAGCTCATAAAAAAAAAATTTGAATTCTAGCCAATATATAATGAGACAATCGCATTGCAATTAAAAGCCATTTAATTAAAAACTATTGCAAAACAGTTATTTAAAACATTTAATTTATAATCATATAATAGTCATGGGGCATTAGACAGATATTTTTAGAACATGAAATAATACACTACTTCGTGTTATTCCCATAGTCCTTCGAAAATTCTTAATTTCTTATTACAAAACATTTATCAGATTATGCAGATTCTAATGTGACTCATTTCCTGTACATAATATTGTCACTATTATAGTAATTTTGAATATATGAAATGGTTTTGTGTTCTTCTCGTGGGATGACAACCTAGCCTTCATCCTCTTCCAAAATATAAGTTTGCCAACGAAATCAAAGTTCCATCCATATTGTATACCATAAAGTAATATTCTTAATATAATCAAATAACAATCTCACTACATGCAGGCTAACTTTAAGTGTGGATAAGCCATGCTTCGGCACGAATGGGTCATCTCAACCGAGGTGATACCACGGCCTCACAAAAAACAACCACAGCGTTTTGTTTAGGCGTATGAGTGAAGTTACTGAAGGCCCAATCCTCTCCATTCGTGTTAACTCCTCCGTCGTTGCAGATGTCCATGGGCGGCGCTGATTGCTTACCATCAGGTAATCTGTTTGCTCGTTTGCCAACCTATAACGTAACACCTATAATAAAAAAAGCCTGACTATTTCGGCTAGTGGTAGCCAAAAATCAAAGGCAATAAATACTGGAATTCCGAATATATTGTAATTATATGTACAAGATGAGTTCTGATCTTGTTTCCCAATGATTCTAAAATATTTATTTTTACTATTATGAATACCTGGATACTAAAGCACTCATACACTTGAGTTACCACTCATTAATTCATCAGACCCCAAGACACATCTCTTGTTTACTATCATCATATCTTATTACACATGTAATGCACATATGTACACTATATTTTTTAATAAAATCTTACTTTACACAGCAACCATAAAAAAACTAATATTTGTGGAGCTATCATGAATCTATCTCAATATCAGAACCATATAAATTGATTTCATTACAAATATTAAGATATTTATTATCAAAACCAATAATTGATGTTAAGATACTACTTAATTACCAAAACTAATAATTAATCTCCAAAAAACGTGTGAATATTTATAAACCATACCTCATTACTTAAATTTCTATTTCATATTTGAAGGTGTAATTTTTTTTTTATTTTTGTGGGTAGACTTAAATTATTATGATTTATTAATTCATCTTTCTAGTGTTTGTTTAAGTATATGATTTATAAACTAATAATAGTTAAGCAATGTGCACACTCCAGCATCTATTATGTTTTATCTAATTATAATTAAATTACATTGTTCAATTACAAGTTCCTATGCTTAAAAAGTCACTTGAGTAATAGTAGTGAGTGAGCTCTACAATCATAAACTTTTCTTTATTACTATTAGTGCACATTTTAGCGTGTATTTTCAAATATTTCAAATGACTTCTCCGAGTTCCTTAGTCGGAGACATCTTTAAGCGAGCCACCGTGGTCTGAACAGGTTATTTCTTCCGAGATTGTAGAATAGTGCCTCCTTTATTTGAATAATTTAATCTTCATAATCTATAATTTCTAGGTTTTTATCAGAAAAATAATTAAGAAATATGTGTCTAAGACAGAGTTGTAAAAGAAAGTTTCATTTAAAATGTTCAAAAAAGGGGATTTTGATTTGATTTTATGATAAAAATTATAGTATAGTAAAGGTGAGACCTTCTTTTGATGAAGATTTCCTGAAAATTGCTAGGGTACATAAAAATATTTGTTGATGTGATAGGGTAGGTAGTGAATAAATTGTTGCTACCCATAACTTACCTTTTTTATATATTGTAAATCGAATTTCACGGTATGTTAAACATACTTTTTTCGTCAAAACTTCTCAATCAAATACGAATATTACAGTATTTTAATACACTACTTAAATATATCACCAACCCGTTTTTGGGTACCACCTATTCTAAAATATAGTGGGTAGAAACGTTTTACAAGAAATATGGCGGTCATAGGTAATAAACGAAATAGATATAATAATCTGTGAACCATTGAAAACTACATAATAGTTGCTAGACCAAATGAAATACACATATAAGATTTAATTTTAACATATTTTAATCATTACCTAAATAAATTCAACAATCGCCTCATTTTATTAGTACTACCCGCAATTAAACATAATTAGTGCAATCCACACTAAACGCAATCCGTGATCATCGAAAATCAAAATACTCCAAAACAAACGCACGCGTAGCATTTTAATTGATTACCAAAACAAAACAAAAACAACCGCCGGTGTTATTCTGGCGGGTAAATTTACTGTTCCACGAAGAAAAGATCAAATTGGTTTTAAAATCGCATACCATTAACAAAAAACGAATTAATATAATAATAACATCTACCATATGCAGTTTTAATTAAATCAAAACTTTGAAATATAATATTATAAAAATACAAAATGGCAGAGGCGTCACATAAAATGTATAAAATAATCTTAAGAAATCGCTAGGATGGTCGCTGCAAATGCTAGAGAATTAAAGAACTACGGACATAAATTGACTTACGCGCTCATGTTTACAAGTATTTTCCTTTCTTTCTTGGATTTGTAAATAATATATGGACGCGCCGCCGACAACTGCGCTGACACTTACAAACGTCCTCTCTCCCTCCTCCTCCTATGATAAATTAGCAACAAATAGCAAAAATAGTCCTTAAACTGTTGCCACCGTCGACATTATCATTTTTTTTATTTGCAACATTATTTATTCTCTTGTCTCTGGTATACTGGAAATCAACATAGACATGTACAGAATTAACAGACCAAACATAAGCTTAAAATTGTGGAGTTATTTACAGCTTGCCAAGTTGCCAAGAGAGTTTAATGCGATGACGTTTGGAACTACGATACGTTTGTGGTGGCAACACTATTAAAACGTAAACAACGGCTAGTTTCAGTGCTTAAATAAAACCTTTGAGTTATTTCACTATTTTATACATTATTTCGCAACGATTAATGTTTACTTTTTATTGGCGATGCAAAGATTATCAGCACGCCTCTAGCGGCGAAATTTAGAAACTGTCTAAGAATGACACTGTTTGTTTATTAGTGCTTATATTCTCTTTGGTTTATTATGTTAGATTATTCAGATGGATCACGATTCTCAACGGAAACCTGTTGCTAATAAAATTAGAAATACGAAATATTGTTGCGTTCCTCAATATAGTACTTACGGAGATAAGGGAATAAGTTTTCATTTATCCCCAAATAATAAAGTTATGAAAAAGAATGGAAGACTGCTTTAAGAATACGCAAGTCAATTTCACCATTAATGAGAGTTTGTTCTCATAATTTTCAAGCATTAAACTTTTTCCAAACAGAAAGTATAATGTTTTAATTAGGTACATTATTTTACTTCAATTATACTTATATGTATTTCATAAGTTACTCATTTAGTTTAAGTACACTAAGGCGAGTTTCACGGCAGATAACGAGATTATGGTTATTTATTTATTTCTTCTTCATACAAGCGGTGTGAATGGCGGACTTAATGCCTTAAGGCATTCTCTAACAGTCAACCATAGGGCAGTGCAGAGAATTTTTGCGGTTGGTGCGAAGCAAGGACACAGAGTCCTAGAACAGGATGAAAGGGGAAAGAAAAAGGAAGAAACAAACACGATTCTTTACACATAAATAAATAGATATGCATAAAATAAGTTAACGAATACAATAAATAATACATGTTAAGTATGGATATATTGAAACATGCATACTATAATATACAGATATACATATACATATATACATACATACATAATATTATCTAGATGGGAAAAAACATGTCGAGACTAGTTACCACATCTGTTTTGTGTCTGCCAATCCTTAAATAAATGCTCGTGGACTTTTAACTTGAACGAGTAGCGATTTGTTGCCATTCTGATTTCCTTCGGAAGCGTATTCCATAGAAGAACAGCTTGGATGAAGAAAGAAGAATGGAAGAAGTCAGTGCGATGGGTGAGACACTGAAGGTGTCGATTGTGGGAAGACCGAAGAAATTTTGAATGGTTTGCGCAAGTATATTGAAAGTTTAGAGGTATGAGGAACAGGGTGGAAAGTTCCTCATCCTCCATTGAAAAGGGAGGATCCTCCGACCAGGCGAGGTGTTCGTGCCTGGCGGGCTACTGCCCGACGGTTGTTGTCGGGATATCTGTATGGGTGCTAATTGTGTTGATAACTCTTATAGCGCGATGTAGACTCTTGCTCGTGATTGGTGCTGTTGTTTATGTAGTGCGCTAGATGTCGCTACATCACTCCCCTCCGAGACCGGAGGTCGTTAGTAGGTTGAGTCGTCTGAATGTCTTGTCTTGTCGAGCCAGTTGATGGTTCCAGTGCGTGGGAACCGCTGCCGCCTAGTTCACGGTGAGTCGGAACTGTCTGCGGGGATGCCCCAGTGAGTCGGGGTGTTGCAGTGCTGAAGAGTGGCTGGCTGCTGCGTCGACCAGGAGAGGAAGTACGTCTCTGCTTGCTGACCGGCCGGTGCAGTATGCTGTGCCGAAGTTGCTGATGAGGCTGTAGGTGCTGACCAGGAATGCGCGTCGGCTGCATGCTGGTGGTCAGGGAACCCGTTGTAGCCGTGGAAGCTGGCTGACTGTAGACTCGCTGCTTGAAAGCTTGAGGAAGTGCTGACGTCATGGCTATGACGTAGTTGCACGAAAGGCTGCATTGATGTTCATATGTTCGGGGTCACCAGTTTGGAGGTATGATGATGATCACGTCGGCAGGATTGCGTCGATAATATCACGTCGGGGTCACCAGTTTAGAGGTATGAGGAACAGGGTGGAAAGTTCCTCATCCTCCATTGAAAAGGGAGGATCCTCCGACCAGGCGAGGTGTTCGTGCCTGGCGGGCTACTGCCCGACGGTTGTTGTCGGGATATCTGTATGGGTGCTAATTGTGTTGATAACTCTTATAGCGCGATGTAGACTCTTGCTCGTGATTGGTGCTGTTGTTTATGTAGTGCGCTAGATGTCGCTACAAAAGTAAGGGGCGAGGTAGCTAGGCGAAGAAGGAGAATCAAGGTAAGAGAATAAAGTTGTAAGTGCCCTCTGTTGCACCAGGTTATTGTTCCAGGTTCTAAAAGGCACAAGTTGTTTCCTTATGTCGTACCGTCTCAGAATATTCTTCAAATAAGCTCCGATAAAGAAGTACCATTTGAAAAAAGCACTCAAATACAGTTTCTTCCTATGTGGTAAGAGGATAGATCAGCTTTAAAGCAATTAACCCTGTAGATTTACTCAGTAGTGATTAGGTATTTATTTATTTTACGGGTATTAATTCAATTGAACTTTTAGAAACATCGACTATTGACAGAAAAATTATTGTCTTAGGGCTGATATATCAAACCCTTTTTTGTTTTGGTGTCGGGTTGGAAAATCCTCATGGAGACCCATCCCCTCGGGGAAGGGCGAAGGGTACTGTCAGACTCTTACTGACTAAAAACCAACCCGGTGTTCCTCCACTTACCCATGTGTCGGAGGGGCGGGTATCGCCGAAGCATTCGTCGCAACCCCCCGACGGGTGTTGGCCCGCCAGATGGTAAGGCGGGCCCCGTCACCCACTGCGGCCGTCACCCCGACCGCAGGACTCCACTATGAGGCGCGCGCGGAACACGGCGCCGCCCCCTCGAGGCCTGCTGCTGGTCGGACGACAAGACGCCCCGAGTCTGTCGTCCGCAGGCCGCGCCCTACGGTGGCTGCAGGTCGGCCACCCTACGACGTCTAGTGCGTCTGCTGCGGGAGGGAAGAGAGGAGGCAGCCTCTCTCTCCCTTTCCGCCGCCTCCTTTGCGAGCATCACGGCCTCGCAGAAGGTAGCGACGGTACTCCACCCTGATTCGCTCCCGACCATAGTAGACACTACAGCCGGAAGCGAGAGATTTCCCGCAGCACCTACGGCCGCGACCAGGTCACGACGCTGCTCGGCCCAAGCTGGGCATTCCGCCAAGGTATGCAGCGCCGTATCGTCGCGGCAATCACCACAATGGTGGCACTGAGACGTCGGCTCCCGACCTATGCGACACAGGTACTTCCCGAAACACCCGTGTCCGGTAAGCACCTACGTCAGCCGGAAGCTGAGGGCGCCGTGGCTCCTATTGAGCCACTGCTCTAGAACGGGCCTTACCGCCTCTATAGCGGCGTGCCCCGCCGTGGGTTGCGCTAAGCGCGTCTGCCACTCCGCAATTAAGGTCTGGCGGAGTTCTGCCCTGCGTGCCTCAACCTGTCGAGGCACCAGGCGCTCGCCCCGCTCGACTGCCTCCGCGCGCCACCAATAGAGCGACGCGAGGAGTTTTGCGTCGAGGTCCCAGGGCGGGGATCCGGCTAGGAGGCTCGCTGCCTCAAAGGAGATCGTACGGTATCCCCTGATTATCCTGACGGCCATCGCGCGCTGTGGCCTTCGAAGCGCGGCGATGTTGCGGGCCGTCAGGGCGTCCGCCCATACTGGCGCAGCGTATAACGCCATCGACCGTACGACCCCCATGTAGAGCCTCCGGCAGGAGGAGATGGGCCCCCCCCTGGTTGGGCAGCAAGCGCGACAGCGCAGCAGCGGCGCCCATCAACCGGGGGGCGAGCCGTGTAAAGTGCGGCCCGAAATTCCACCGACTGTCGAGAACGAGTCCGAGGTACTTCATCGTGGACTCAACAGCGATGGAAACCCCTCCTACTATAATGCTGGATCCTTGAGGCGGCCTCATCCTCGGCCCATGAAAACACAGGGCCTCCGATTTGTGCAATGCCACCTCTAAGCCCAGCCGCCGGATCCTACCCACGACGTGCGCGACACCAGCCGTCGCGCGTATGGTCGCCTGCCGGTACGACTTTCCACGCGCTGTAACTAGCGTATCGTCGTCGTAACAAATGACGCCGACTCCGTGGAGTAGCGCACCGCGCAGAGCCCAGTCGTAGCCAACGTTCCACAAGAGCGGACCCAACACCGATCCCTGCGAAACGCCGCACGACGTCTCTCGCCGACCCCATCCTTCTCGACCCGGGTACACCACCGACTTGTCCGACAAATAAGCACCGACAATGCGTTGGAGGTAGCGTGGCACCCCGTGATACCGGAGTGCCTCTCGGATGGTACTCCAGGCCAGGGTAAGGTGTTGAAAGCGTTAGCGATGTCGAGCGACACCGCCAAGACCACCTCACCCCGGGCGACTGCCTCCTCCGCCAGGACCTTTACGCGCATGATAGCGTCCACCGTGGAGCGCCCCTGGCGAAAACCATATTGGTTGTCCGCCAAATCCGGCCCCACCCTGGTCATGTGCTGGACGAGGCGGCCGGCGATGATTCGCTCGAAGATCTTACACACCTCGTCCAGCAACACGATCGGCCTGTACGCAGACGGGGAGTCTGCGGGGCGCCCCGCCTTTTTGAGCAAGACCAGCTTTCCGGTCTTCCACCGGCTTGGGAACTGGCCCCGCTCCAAACATGCGCTTAAGAGCCCCGCTAGTCGGGGCCAGAGAGCTTTCATAGCCAGGACCCATGCACGGCCTGGAATGCCGTCGGGCCCTGGGGCGGTGTTCTTGATGCGACCCACCGCCACTCTCAACTCTACCCGGGTCACTTCGGGCACGTTTTCGTCAGTCTCGTCTTCCGCGTTGGGCGAAGTACGAGGCGGAACCATAGCCGGTGGTGTGTGCT